TGCCAGGCACAGTCTACTGCACAGATATCCTACCAAGGCAAAGCCTTTCCAAGCAAGGTCAGCACCCCACATGCTGAACTGTTCAGCCAATCTGACTACTCACCATGATGCCTGATGAGGAGATGGGCATTGGAAATTACAGCTCCCAGCACCTCCTGGCAGAATCTGTCTTTACACTAGCTCCATTCAGATCAACAGCTCTCTGCTGTACATATTCTAGAGGAATGAGAGCAGTGGAACAAATCTCCATCTGCATTTACAATGCTGTTTTACAGAGGAGGCAAGACTGGGCACAGTTAAAGGATGCCACGCTTGAAAACAAAGCAGTGCTCCTACAATGGCTCACATGGCAGCACCTGCCTTATTTTTTATTTTTATTTTTATTTTTTTTTTAATTGTGCACAGCACAAGTAGCAGCAAGTCTCAGAGTCCCCTTCAGGCATCACACATGGCTGAACCACAGCTGGCTTACCTGTCTAGCTTCCTTCCTTTTGCCTTTTACTCTGATCTTCCATCACACATCCCAAAATGGTCCAGGCCCCTTACTCATGCTTCTAGATGAGATCTTGTCAGCACTGCATGTGGAGCAACTGCATGAAGAGCCCAGGGGATGGCCAGGGCCATCTGTTACAGACTTTTCTCTCTGTGAGTTGGTGTTTTTATTTTAACTCCCTCTGCTTCTGGGCCCCTCTTCATCTCTTGCTCCTCCCATCTCCCTCTCTCTGCTCATGAGGACAGAGTTTCCATCCTGGCCCTGGGCCAGCACATGTATGGGCAAAGGCAGAGCTCAGGAAAAGCTATCTTCTGCTCCCTTTCAGCACGTAAACACTGCCAGTTCCCAGCCCAGGAGCACAGGGCTGAGCCAGAGCTCTGCCTGCAGTGCAGGGGGACTAAGCACCAGCAAGTCCTGCCCAGGCTGGACACGGCAGCTTGGCTGCAGTGCAAACATCTCCTCTGCCCTTCCAACTATGCTTGACTTCCTTCAGCTTTACCACGGGATAGTACTGTTTTCAAAAAGGACAGAAATTATGTCCTCAATACATGTTATCGGCATTAAAGAAAGGAGTCACAGTGTTTCAAACTTCTTGCAAGGAAGATTTCCCATGAACCCTCTTTTGGGTTTTTTGTTGCACACACAGAGCATACCACATTTGCCCAGCAAATGTTTAGGCAATGTATTTATGAGCAGTACAAACTCAGAGGGTTTCAGAACTGGATCACCCCAGCCACCACGCCAGGATTATCCCAAGAGCACAGTCCCTGTGAGCATCTCCAAGATGACAGACTGGAACCACATCATGGGTTCAGAGCTGCTCAGAGCTGTCTCAGCACAGCAGAGACTGGACCATCATGATGGCAGAGCCCCCAAGGTGTCTTGCTCACGTCTGCATGAGTTCCCAGCTCACTGAAAGACACAAAGTGGTGAAGACTCACGTGGGTGGCAGGTAAGAATCCGCTGCTTTCATCAGGAAAGGCCTGGGGAATTAAGACTTTCACCTCTTCAGTCCCATGTCCACAGACAAGGAGCACCTTGACCCAGTTGGGTGGTGAACCATGTAAAGGCTGGGAGAGATCTTGAAAAGGATCAGCCTATAGGACCTTAAGTATTTATTTATGTAAGACAGTGCTGATGCCTTTTAGTGCTTTATTTCAACCTTGAACTGACCCTCAGCCTGCTCTGTGCTAAGCTTCCACCAAAGGATACAGGCCTCAGTTGAAATCCCAGGATGCAGAGGTCAGAGATTCCAGGGACTCTAGACTGTCTTAGGCACACACTTCAAGGTCAACCAAGGCCCCTGCATAAGCCACATTTCAATGTAGCACAGCCATTTCAACAACATTTGAAAAGCACAGCCTTCATGAAGCTGGGAGTTCAGTCATATGGTCATCTTCACCAAAACATGGGCTGAAGCCACCCCCAAACACCATTAATATCCTCACATTTCAGCCTTTGCTTCAATTTCCAGGAGCTGATAAAGCATCTCCAAGGTGAAGACCAGAAAAAAAAAAAATCCCAAAAGCAAGATCAATATGGTATTGCCCTTTCCTTAGTAAGTGCCCTTACTGCACTTCAGAGCTACAGTCGAGCTACAGTCAAGAAAACACTGTCTCTTTTCCTGCTTTGTGCTGTAAAACAGTGCTCACAGATACCTCAGACACAATGTTATTTGAGCTGTATCTAAGCAAAGCCAGAATCACTCATTTACTGTCAGGACTTGAATGAAACAAGAAATTTCTTTCCAGCTCCATCTCACTCCCTCCTTCCCTCGGGAGAGTCTTCTCAGCCTGAAAGGAACTGCTATGCAAGTGCATTAAAAGTCCTATTTCAGCATTTCTTTCATAGTAGAGGCCTCTTCCAGCCAACTCTTGGGATCCTGCCAACAGACATATCAGCCACTAGTACTTAAATCCTTCCGCTAAAAACGCTTCCCTAAAGAGCTTGCACCCCAGTTCTGAAGGCTAAGATCATCACAACTAACCGGCTTCAACAAGAGTTTAAGACTGGTTCTTCCCCACTCTCATGGGTTTACTGGTGCACCACACAGCCTTTTCTCCCCTTGGTCTGGCCTCCACTTCGGAAGGAGCTGCTTCCATGCACTTCCAGTCAGGAAATAAATGTCAGGTGTTACAAAAGGAAGGGAGGACCAGCTGCTTTGAATGATGCATTCAGGGGATCCAAAAGAACATGGCACTTATCAGACACTTCTGAAATGCCCGGGATCTCTCCATCCTTAAGAGACTGGCTCTGCTGTGTCATGATTTCATCGGCAAATTTCTTAAACTTGGGGAAGGATTGAGCTTGTTTCTGTGCTCCCAGAGTGCTCAGCAAAATAGAGATTTTAAGTCCTGTCTGTGTGAATTAGTTGTCACGGCCGATATTAAGAATAACTTGTTGGAAAAGGTACTCCTGGATTAAGATAATCTCTGAAAAACACAGCTTATGGGGTCTTTATTTATTATCTCCTTGTCAAAATGAACATTTCTAACATGTAAATACAACAGGCATGGGGGAAAGACAAGTCTATTGTAAGTGTCTGACAAAGGATCTAAATGCTCTTCTTGTTTCTGGAGAACAGAAAGCACACACAGAAATTGTCTTTGCCGTCAAAATGTCCTAAAAGCTTTCCCAAGGCAGCGAGCTGGGGGCAGTACTGAAAGCAGCACTTTGGGACACTCCACATGCACTTGTGCTCTACAAGGAATGCTGCACTTTGGATCCAAGCTGATGAACAGGGAGTATCTTCTGCGTGGACTGCTAGGATATGGACGTGCCAAAAGCCAACCCAGGCTTCAGCACACAACCTTCTCACCCACGCAGGCAGAGTGGTCCCAGCAGAGCCATAAATCTTTACTCAGCTTTTTGCATCCCTGGCCACTCCAGCGCCCTTTGTTTTCAGCGCTTTCTCTTCCGTTTCTCAAAAAGGCGTCTTATTACCCTGGGAAACCCTGTGGCTTTCGCCTCATTTCCATACTTAGCATTTTCAGTTGCTTCCAAGCCTGACCCAACATACTAGTTATCCATTTTCACAGGCTGAAACACTGCTTGGATTATTTTAAAAACCCAAACAACAACCAAACAAAACCCCTCAAACCCAACATGCATCAAACCCCACAAACACTACCCCAATGACAACAATTCAGAGCACAACACAAGGGAGGAGGAAATGCATTCCTTTCCTCTGCCAGGATGCAACAACTCCCTTTTTGGTGGTGCAGAAAACAGGGCCAGTACACATTATTGGACCTCACTACCACACACCAAGAACCAGTGGTCAGTAAGGTGGCAGCCAACACAGAAAACAGCTTTTTAATCCACCACCAACCAGCAGCTCCCCTCACAGTAGCAAATAAAAGCCAGGCTGGAGATGCTCTTCTCCAAAAGCAACAAACTTAAACTACTGAAATGGCAAGAGCAAAGGTGGTTGGGAATAACTCAGGGTCAGGAACAACTTGCCTTGGAAACAAGATGTGCTCTTGTAAAGAGCTGAATTAAGGGCCCATGCTCAGTACATAGTCCCAGCACCTGTGAGGAGGCTCCAGTGCAGATCCAAGCAGTCACAAAGCCTCAATCCCCCATGACCATGACCTTTCCAGCACCAGGCATCAAGAGACATGCTTACTGGACACTCAAAAAGCCAAAACCTCTGAAAGTCTCCCAGATACCCCTGGCATGGTTTTACCTCCCAGTTTGCATTTGACACCTTGGGACCACAGCAGCAGCCAGCTGTAACTTCATCCTTGTTCCCTTCTACCAACTCCCTGTCCATTAGCACCCATCATCCTTGGGTACAGGAGCGGGAAGGCAAGAAAGTGTTTTTCTCCCCAGGACAGGTGAATACTCCCACCAATCCTCCTCCCGATCCCGGGAGTCAGAAGTGCCACCCTGATAAACCACAGGCTGCACACAACTGCAGGCGCTCCTTCCAGCCCAAGGCAAAGTAAGAGTAAAGCAGGCTATCCTATCCAGAGCAGAGAGAGAAAAGTGCGGGGCTAATATCACACGGGGATTTTTGCAGAACCGATAACTCTGGCTGTTTGCTCCGGCGGGGCCCGGGCTTCCCCCAGAGAATGTGCTCAGCGTTTCCTCCTCTGTTTTGTGCTGGAGACCGAGGCAGGGTTGAGTTCACTCAGGGGCCCCTTGCTGGGTGGCGGGGCTGCCGCTGCTCCTCCGCCCCACCGCCCCCGACCCGCTCGGGTCGGCTTTTCAGCAGCCGCCCAGGTCCCCTCGGCCCCGAGGCCCCGCGCCCGGCGGGAGCAGCCGCCACCCCGTCCCGGTGGGAAAGCGGCGGCGCCCGGGAGCGCGGGGGATTCGGCTGGCGGCCCCCGCTTTCCCTCTCTGCAGCCGGGATGAAGAAAAGCCAGTTGGGGCGCGGAAGGGAAGAGGGAATTAGGGATTTTTCTGGAGGGGCACCTCTGCCCGCTCTGCCGCGTTAGTGTCCCTTCGGCGCCTCCCTACCTTCCTCGGCGGCGGCAGCGGAGCGGGGGGGCCGTGTCCCGGCATGACGACGGCGGCGGCGCCCGGCGCCGGGCTGGCGGCTGCGGACCCGCGGCTGGGGGNCGCCCTCCGGCGGGAGCGCCGCCCCGTCCCGTCCCGTCCCGCCCCGCCGCTGAGGCAGCCGCGCCCGCCCCTGGCTGCGGGCATGGAGCGTCCTGTGCTGCCTGCCCGGGGGAAGGGGGTGCCCGAGGGAGGCGGCGGGGGATGCTGGTGTCGAGGCCAGCCGGGCAAACGGGAGCTGAGTGAAAAGCCGCCGTTCTGGTTGCAGACGGAAAGATTTCCGGGGAAACGTAGAAAGTCCTGACTTGCTATCAACCCAGTACCTGGCACTGGCAATGGCTTCCCGAGGCTGACAGGGGTAAACAGATCCATCGCGGGATGGCCAGGAATGCCTCAAACCTGCAACACGATTTCTATCCCTTGGTCTGAGACTGGGTATTAGGGAAAGGTGCTTCACCCAGGGGGCGGTCAGACAATGGAACAGGATGCCCAGGGCAGTGGGCACAGCACCAAGCCCGGCAGAGCTCGAGAAGCGTTGGGACAACGCTCTCACGGTGTGACTCTTGGCGTGTCCCGTGCAGGGCCGGGAGTGGACTCCACGGTCCCGATGGGCCCCTTCCAGCTCAGGATATTCAATGTTGCTATGATTCAGAACTGATGGAGGGGTGAAAGTCCAGGAACCAAGCGCGGCCCCTTGCCGCCTGTCCCCGTCCAGCACAGCCCGATCCCGAGGGGACGCTGCCGGTGCGGAGGGAAGAGCTCGGGCACGCGCCTCCCTCGCGGCACTCGGCTTCCCGCCAGGTTCTCGCTTCTGGCCCTTTAAGGGGCGGGGCGTCGCCGCGCTCCGGGGCGCTGATTGGCTGGGCGCGCCCCCCCTCCCGCCCCCTGCTCCCGGCGGGGCGGGCACGGGCGGCGGGAGCGCGCGCGGTGGC